AAACAAACTTACTGTATTATAAATATTACTGCAATTCTGTGATTGACATCTATATTTCTAAGAAAACTATAAAATTATCAATGGGTGCGGYCAAAAAGGACTCACTCACCCCACTAGTAATTACTCTTCGAATTTAAGTGTTTTCTGTTAGAGTTATATACAAGTAGTGAATCAATTCGATATTCATAACAAATTGATTTTTTTTATAGCAAATTGACTGGCAGCGAATTGACYGACAACTTACTTTTAAAATGCCCACACTCCAGAACGTTTGATTCTTCATGTTGTTAGGAACAGATTTATCTGTATAAGAGCAGTTATTTCCTCATCATCAAAGCTATCATGTGGGCAGTACTTGTGACCAGAAGCCATTTTCAATGATCAACCCAGCAAATATAATAACAGTGATTTTCATGGTTTGTGTGGCCACATGTAAATGAAAGTCACATAAAATTTTTTAGGCAATCATGCTCACGAATTTTGTACACTGAATGATGATTGAATATATTGTATAGTACTTAATATATTCAGTTAATGATTAAAAGGGGCCAAATTGCTATAACAGCACATAATTTGTACCTTTAATAAAATTAATAAAGTTTATGTTAACTTTTGAAATTTATTAATTATAAACCTAATTTTCAGAACCCCATTACACAGAGCCATTGAATCTCGTAATGTTGCGGTTTTTGATGCCTTACTGCAGAGGCAGAGGTAGGTATAACAAAGAGGGCGCATTCATGAACTTATTGCATTGGGCTTGGGCATTCTTACTTAAGTACCTATGTAGTTCTTATAGTCAGATTGGTTTTCATAAACCTGGTGAAAGAAATTGCACCATCTCGCCCCCACAATAGTGTGATACACTGAAAAGAAAAAGAAAAACGAGGAAAGCAAAGAGTAGTAAAGTGTACTATGCTTAAGACTTCTACAAGATACTAGATTAACTGGAGCTTAATATAATGGTCCTTTTTCTGTMTAACAATGAAAATCAATTGAATGGAAACAAAATGATCTTTGGTTTACACTCTGTTTAGTAAATGAAGCTTGAGATTAAACTGCTGTAACCCAGTTTGGGCTGGAAGCCTCATGTCTGGAACCATGTCTAGAAATGAGTGAGCTATATTTTATTGTTTACAAGAAAATAAAACAGATTGACATTAATTATTCATGGAAATTAAGGACATAATTTGAGGCTTAAATGGTTCTTAGAAGGATGCTTAAAATTTGTCACAGCTCAGATGCAGTTAAAATGAAGTAGTTTTATTTAACTATTTTGTGGACCTTTTAGCTTAGATCTAGAGGTGCATGATAATAGAGGTTTTACTCCTCTTTGGTTGTCACTGGATGACAATGAATGCTTTGATCCTGGTGATGAAGACAGTTTTGGTGCCAAGCTTGTTTCACATGGTGCATCAACTGATACATTGCATGAAACCACTGGTATGTCACAGATAATGAAAGTCTAGAGACAATGCACTTGTACTGATCAAAAGAAACAGTAACTATGTAAGAGTTATTTACCGAGAACGGGCTGTATATAGCGTAATGCCGACATGCGAGGTAACTAACAAACTTAGTTTTCAATTCACGTGGTTTTCACGAAAACTGAATAGACTAAATGTTTGTTTTCTTAGTTGGGATTCGAACAATAGAATCCTCTCCTCTTGAGACTTTTTCATGAACTGTTGAAATTAGTTTCCTTTAAGAAAACCTGTTCATGCGAAAGCAAGCATTTGGAATTTGAATATTGTTATCAAATATTCAGTCATTCTGTAAACAATGTCRAACAGTGACAAAGATTTGTTTATAGCTCAAAATACGTTTGACAGCATTCCTTTGCCGAACTTTGATATTGCCGATTTGCTATCGGATTTGGAACTCTGCATGCCTCTGCCTGCAAATAACGATGACAAACTCTGCAGATTAGAAAAACGAGAAAAATTACAWTARYWKTTKWTGAWGAAGAAGAAGAAGAAATACGAGGGAAGGATTCCAGAAGGAATCAGTAAAGTACCAAATGATGTATACGTGCATGCTTGGATAGAATGGGCCGAAGAGCGGAGAAATACGAATTACACTATTACTTCTGATTCATACACGTTGGTCAATTCCAAAGTATAGATTCTTTTAAAAGTAACAAAGATCTTCAGTTGGTGGTTGTTGTCTTATTTATTGTTATTCTCTAGTGATGAACATGATAGAAAAGACTTGAACGTATTATGCTCTCAATCTCCAAGTTTTGCTGGCCACACTGGTCTTTTTTAGGGGGAAAAGTCATTTAGTTTACTTAGTTTATTTGATATTCAGCAGGGAATGGGGTTGATGATCGTTATAAATTCAGCGGGCTATATGAGTGATCCTGGTCACTCATATATAGCCCGCTGAATTTATAACAAGCTATTCAATATGCCATTCATCAACCCCACATTTCCCTGCTGAATATCAAATCCCTYCCCGGCTTTAAGTTTCAATCGGTTTCTATCATATATAAAACCCTAATAAAACCTAGTGAATTGGAAACTAATAGTGTCTATTTACTGACTAATAGTTAGATATCACTGAACCAGAACAATTCATGAAAGCAAAAGGCAATTAACAAAAGACTTGACAACTGAACAACTTTATTTCATGTCTCAGTCCATATTTATTTGGAATGCTATGTGATCAAACTTTCTTTTATTTCACTTATGTACACACATAGGTCAATTCTTTTTATGATATTTCAATAGACTACTATCTACTATTTAACAATTAGTCAGTAAATAAAAACTGATAATTACTACTTCTTTGATTATGTTTCACGGTGCAAGTGAGCTGAATCATGATAATCATGAAAGTAATCAATATTACTTTATATATAATTAATTTCTTCAATGAAAAGCGAGGTCAATTCTGCCAATTTTCCATTCTATACTATGTAAAGATGAAAAAAAGAAAAACCAAACCTACTATACAGGAAACTATAATGTGTGGTTAACCAAAATCTGAAAAACATGAAATTTTGTCAGTTGTTATCACATGTTGGACAGAGTGCATGCCAAACCTACTTATTTATATACCTAATTTTCTCCAGGATTCCCAAATTACAACATTTTACAATATTTTTGATAGTGTATCAAGATAACACTCTTCTTAAAGTTTTTTTTCTGTCTTACTGAAGTATTGTAGTTTATTATTCATATTATTTTATTATGTGTACTTCTAGTTGATAAATGTGGGTTTTTTTCTTATAGAGGTTATTTCAGAATGGTTTAGCACTAAATACTGATACGAAATKCAACTATGCAGGAAAAAAAGATGATATATTAGGCAAATGAAAAACATTCTACTTGTGTGTGTATTATTAGGTAACAGTCTCCTTCACTTTGCTGCATCAACTTATCAAGAGAAAGCTGGAGTCTTTCTTGCTTCCCATGGTGCAAAATCAAATCATGTCAACAATGAAGGAGAAACACCTTTACATGTGGCAGCAAGAAATGGCATGGTCACTTTGATAACAGAACTATTAAACAAGTATGTGCAGTTTTTGAATATTAAGATTAAATAACCACATCTCATACATACATGTACATACTGAGTGCCCAAAAATTGGGTCTAATACTTGTTTAAAGGGAGTACGTAAACATACCACCAAAACAAAACTTATTTATGTGTTTATCAAAAATATGTCTTGCCAGACAGACAAAATGGTAGCTTTCCTATAGAAAATAGACTTTAAACGGACATAATTGAGCTAATTATTATTGTCGCCATATTGACCTTTTTCTGAAAATGTCTCCAAACAACCACAACAAGTGATTTAATTCACCAGCAGCTCTATTAGTATTATACTTCAACCCTTAATAACCAATTTTTTAAAATAGATAGATAAATACTCGACAGTAACGCCGATATGGTCAGTTGATCAACTATAATTTTACCAATTATTTGTTTACATATTTTAATTGATAAATTAGGAAACAATCAACAAAATATTTTTTACTGCTACAATTCCAGTAAAATTTATACAAATTTTTGCGAAAAACAAATTTTGCCGATAAGCCATGTCTCTGTCCTATGATATAAACACAGTCGCCAGCCAATCAGAGCGCGCATTTATCAAATGTTTTATAAATGGTATTATTATAATGGTTTTTGAGTCAGGTCAGAGATTTCTCGATCATGACAATTGTCAAGCCGTTATTTGATCGGTAGGACATTGCATCAATTCAAAAAAACACAAGCAAGTAGTCCCTTACGATTAGGACTAAACGACTCGTCACCTAATGATTAGGGCTTTATTTGCATGATTCACCTAAAACCTAAAATTGAAAGAAAGAGAGCACAACACAAAACTCTCCATTGTATTCTTTATAAGGTCTAAATTGCCAGTCTCCCTTGAGACGAAGTTAGGACAACGATACACCGTATATATARTTTTTGCCCGTGACATTCTGTCCAGGAGTTCATCCAGACACGTGAAAAACTTAAGTGTCACGTTGGTTGTATGCTATGCCGAGCAGCGAAAAAGCTTTGAATAGTGAACTGAATGTGCTCAAAAGGAAGACTATCTACATCTAAATACAGTAAAGCATCTTTGATWAGACTGRATTTACATTCTACTGTGATTTTGGTGAATTATTTTGACTCTCGGCATATAGTTTTTCGTGATACTCTGTCAGGGTTCCGGACCGATATAGACTAATAATTTTCATGATGGTTATTTTTGTATTAAGGTTTTTTTTATTTCTTTGTACTCGTATGTAGTCGTATGTTACTCGTATGTAACCTGTATGTAGTCATATGTTACTCGTATGTAAGCTGTATGTAGTCGTATGTTACTCGTATGTAACCTGTATGTAGTCGTATGTAACCTGTATGTAGTTGTATGTAGTCGTATGTTACTTGTGTGTAGTCGTATGTGACTTGTGGGTAGTTTTAGCAACGATCCCTTGGATGATACTTCCRAGCAAATGACTGGAAACGTTAAAGCCTTAATATTAACAGCGTTATCTCCGTCCTTACTGATACTTAACTCTACTACATCGCACTTCTGTGGTAAATCCCTTATTACCGAAGGTATTTAGATTCACTGTTTCCGATCTCACAGCAGGAGAAAAATACAGCAGCTACAAGAAAAATGTTGTGTCTACCACGTTATGTTGCCTTCATAGACCTGACAAAAGCTTTTGACCTTGTCAGTCGTGATGGCCTGTTTAAGATCCTTGCAAAGATCGGATGTCCACCTACCTTACTCAGTGTTATTAAATCCTTCCATGACGACATGAAAGGCACAGTGATCTTCGATGGGTCAACATCCAACCCCTTCAAAATACGCAGTGGTGTTAAGCAAGGTTGTGTCCTTGCTCCAACCCTCTTTGGGATCTTCTTTTCCATCTTGTTGAAGCAGGCATTTGGTTCTTCCACTGAAGGTATTTACCTTCATACCCTAACCCTCTTGGAATCACCTGGCAAGACAAAGTGTCAAATAACATCATCCTGGAGAGAGCTGGTATCTTTTATTAGTATTTTTGATGTTTCAAAGCAAAGACRTATGCATTGGCTTGGGCATATGATCCGTATGCAAGATGACACAACCATCTTCATCTTTCATCTGTCCTAAATGTCAGAGGGACTGTCATGCCTTTATCGGACTGACAAGTCACATGAAACACTGTTTCTAGTGTACAGCCAAAGTCATTCGTGACTGACAGATGCCTACTATACTATATACGATGTGCAGTACGTTCTCTTGGAGAGACTGCCCACCAAAGTTAAGGACTGCGATGTACAGCAAAACATTAACAACATCCAAAAATTGGAAGAAAACGAGGGAAATTGAAGTAATTTTGACAAGCGATTGAATTATGGATCRATTGTCCTGTGTTTAATTACCATATCCAGTTCTCTTGGAGCATTTCTCACCAAGATTTTGGCMTGTGACTTACAGTAAAGTATTAAAACCACCGAAGTGAAGAAAACGAAGACCACAAAGGTAATTTGGCAAACAATTAAACACAAAGAGTTTAAAAATAAAAATCGTGGATGTATAAAGACAAACATCAAACATAAACATTGGACATATATACATCGCGCCAAAATACCAATGTAACGTAAACTTGTGACCAAGATATTTGGTTTATTGAATTTTTCCCCTCTTGTGATTTGGGATTTTGACTCACTATCCCTAATCACAAGGGGTTATCAGCTATTTCCCCTCGTGGTTAGGGCTCATGTAACCMTGCTTTGTCAGAACCCTAAYGATTAGGGGAAGCTTTTGGTGAGGTCAAATAGCCGAACAGACCAAATCATTAGGTMAAATATTGAGGGCGGATTTAGATTTCGTGGTTGGAATTAAATCGCGTAGTGTTTCATGACTCTGACAGTTGGTTTGTCGGTTTGTTTTGAAACTGTGCTGCAAGAAGTCGAGAAATGAGTTTGTTCGCATTTTTTTTCCTGCCTTTTTGCCTTTAGTCACTACTCTACGGACATCATTAAGTTTGTAGGTGGCAAAGGAGCTTACTTGCTGAAATAATCAAGCTTGGCTGGTGACTTTCCGGGGYTGATTCGATTAACTTGGACAGTCGCTTGAAGAGACTGTCTAAAGGCAAATCCTTTGGAACTGCCACAGTAATTTTTGGATGTTTTGGCTATTGAGGAACACAAACAACTTTTGGCAGAAGGCTGTTTTTGTTATATAAATTTCTATTTCAGAATGGAGGGAAATGTTGCCGTCAGCGCGTCCATTTTTCGCCCAGAATTCATTGTGCGCAAGAATCCGGTTAAAACACATGTTCTGAATCAGTGTCCAAAGAGAAAGCCGTAGCTTGAGATGTTATGGAAAATTTGAAAAATAATATAAAAATTAGGTAACACCTAATAGCGGAGCTCCAATAGCACAACAGAATAGCACAACAGAAGCTGAAAATGATTATTTAGTACTCGACCTCTCTCAAGGACAGGTTTAGTTTAGCTGTTTCAAGGAATGTTGACATGCAAACAACATATTTATTCATTTTAGCTGAAGAAAGAGTATGTTTATGAGAATTTCGTACTCTAAATTAAGTTAAATATTGACTTTGGTAGATTTTGTTCCGTTGTACGAAGTTATTATAACCAGTATATATAATTTTATATGGCAAACCCAAGATTCTTTGCAGGCTCAAGACCGTGGACTGTGTCCTGGCGACGACAACATTTTTTGAAATAGGTGTATATCATACAATATCTTTAATTTAGAGAATTTTTCTTTTATAAATGCAAGAGATTAAGGCCACAAAAGAACCCACAAAAGCATTTTTTCAATAATTCTTTAATGAAAAGGTAATTTGTTCAATGATTCTGATTAATGCAGTCACAACCATGATGATTTGTCAACATAATGATTATAATTCTGACTGCATTATCTCATATGAATTGCTAACTTTTCATAGTAATGGTTCTCTAGCCCATTCTCTAGCCCATTATGCTCAAATTGTTCATAGATTATAGGAACTCTAAATTTTGTGATCAAGAAAATTGTTTTGTGTGGTTAATGACATTTGAAGTAATGTTTAAAGTCCGACAATGAGGACTGGACGGGGTTTCAAGTCCGCGCAATTAGTTCCAGTCCGNAATATCTTTAATTTAGAGAATTTTTCTTTTATAAATGCAAGAGATTAAGGCCACAAAAGAACCCACAAAAGCATTTTTTCAATAATTCTTTAATGAAAAGGTAATTTGTTCAATGATTCTGATTAATGCAGTCACAACCATGATGATTTGTCAACATAATGATTATAATTCTGACTGCATTATCTCATATGAATTGCTAACTTTTCATAGTAATGGTTCTCTAGCCCATTCTCTAGCCCATTATGCTCAAATTGTTCATAGATTATAGGAACTCTAAATTTTGTGATCAAGAAAATTGTTTTGTGTGGTTAATGACATTTGAATCAAGATTAAGGAACTTGCTTGTTTAGTATCTGAATGTTTTTGGCCATTTTATGTAAAGAGGCTTTAAGAGGCTTTCATTTAATATGAGAGCTTAGAAGATTACATATTGAATATAAGACTTTACATGGCGACCCCCTGAAAAAGCAGGAAATACTATAAGATAAATTATGCACTGATACAAGAAAGTCCACTAATTGTGTTATACACTTACAAGGATGAGTGTTTTTTGTTGTTGTTTTGTGTTGGCTCTCGCTCTTTCTCTGTTGCCGCCCCTACTTTATGGAACTCTCTCCCATCTGATTTAAGAAACATTGACTCTTTGCTGTCCTTTAAGAAAKAACTYAAAACTTATTTGTTTAGTTTAGCTTTTAGAGTTTAATTTGTTTGTTAGTTATATCAGAGCGCATATAACAGATTTGCATATGCGCTATACAAGTTTTCATTATTATTATTATTATTATTATTATTATTGATTTCGTGTGCTTTATTTGCGTCAGAGTTAGTGGTTATTTTATGTTCATTTATTCATTTCTCTCTAAAAGTGGAGCCAACCCAAATGCACAGACAACTTGCACTGAAAAGATGGAAGAAAGGGAAAATGAGCGTTCACATGCAAGGGACCTTGCAAAGATACAGGCCAGGACAAAAGCATTAGATATCATTAAACAGAACCAAAAAAATGCAAAAGATAAAAGAAAAGAAGATGAATTAATGCTTGGACAACAGTTGGGCGACTCACAGGAAGATATTCATAACGCAGTGGCAGACTCTATTAAAAGAGCAAATCCTTTTCAAGAAGACCTAGGGATAAGTCATAATCCCTTTGAAGAAGACCTTGGACTAAGCTCTAATCCTTTTGACCAAGATTCAGGACAGTGCATTAATTCTGATGATTCAAATCCATTTATGGAAGACATAAGAGCGGAAACATACACCTCCTTGGAGCACAGCTATAAAGAAACTACAAAATTAAAAAGTAAGAAATATTGGAATTTTTCAGTTCATTAACTGTCTGGTTAACTATTTGTAAGAAAAAATGAAATGTGTCACAATTGAAAAAGGAGACGCAATCACAAAAGCAAGGTAAATTTTGGTGATGGTTTGTGAGTGAGTAGAAGTAATGTTTAAAGTCCGACAATGAGGACTGGACGGGATTTCAAGTCCGCGCAATTAGTTCCAGTCCGAGGCATTAGCCGAGGACTGGAACTAATTGCAAGGACTTGAAATCCTGTCCAGTCCGAATTGGAGGACTTTGAACGACTTCTCATACTCATTAATTATTCGGGAGAGGTAAAAAGYGAAGGAAATACATATAACAGAAATATATTGATTTATTGCATCTCCACTAAGATTTTCAGTTTTCATAAGTTTGAATACATGAAGCATCGTTTGTTGTTCTTCAATTCCGTGACGGCTTTCTGAAACAAAAGCTATTCAAGTTGTCTTTGTCTGCTATTCATGCCATTCCTAATGAGCCTAATCCATAAGATTTATAAGTATGTTATCTTCTGAGGAATCGCATCAGAAACTCGGTGGTGTAATGGTATTAGACGGCGCATATAGACTGGACGGTAGGGGATCAAGTCGTGAGGGAGTCATGTATCAAAGACCTTTTTTCACTAAATTAATGTTAAACTGATTATTTCTAATAATTTGATTATCATTAGCTAGTAGTAGTTGGAAACATGGTAGAAGTAACTGGAAATAAGTTACAAATAGCTGGAAATAATGTAGAAGTAACTTGAAAAAGGTAGAAGTAACTGGAAATAAGGTAGAATACAAGGTACAAGTACTTCCTCTGGTTTCAAGTTACTTCACGTGGTACAAATTACAATCAGGGATTGGCTGGATGCCTTATGAATAATTAATGAGTATGAGAACTAAATAAGAAGCTTCCAGGAAAGAAAAAAGAAAAAAAAGAAACATCAATAATGAGTAATTTGCTGGTCACAAGCCAGGATAATGAAGGAGCATTTTAACCAGAAGAAGCAATTAAATCCTATAAAATATTACAGTCAAAAGACATGAAGCGTGCCCCCTGAATAGTTCGTTATTCAATGCATTATTGGATTTTTTTTGTTTTGAAACTTCAGTTGATTCATAGAAAATTAAATTAAAATCTTGAACTCTGGTAATGACAGAAAACAACACAGCATTTCCAGCTTTTTGAGACCGTCATTCCTTTCTCAYGAGAAGRAACAGATMCAACCAAWYTAAYAGASAGCATATTGCAATGCATCGACTTGTGGAAATTATAAAAGAACAGCATGTTTGCAAGTGAAATACGAAGTCCACAATTATCTTAAGGTATCAGGTCAAAAATAATAGAATACCCATTTATTCAGTTTTTAGAAAATGTATACTTTTAACTGAGGTTATTAGTTAGCGTGCTACAAGGGGTTAATTGACCACCGGTCGCAAAGGTCCCCTGATACCTTAAGGAGTCGAGGCTCAAAATGGTTAACAGAAAATGCATATAATAATGCATTCTTTGAATTGGTTTTATAAGATATACATTTGCGGCTGCATCGCACGTCGGTCAAAAGGTCAAGGCACTAATCATCTACATCCCTGAATAATGATTGGCCAGAGTTTTGCACCAAATTGCGTTCCCTGTGCGGCTTATACATGGGTAAATACGGTACATTTAATGGAAATGACAGATCATAAAAATGCAGAATTCATGACATCAATAATCAACTGAAATCATAAAAATCTTCGCCGGTGAACAGTGAAGCTGACAAGCCTTTCCTGTCTTGAGCAAGTAAACATATATGGTCACAAAGACCTATTCCACTAGGTATTTTTGTACTCATTTTTTTGCCTGCTCTATGAACTGTGAAGCTTAAACGTTTCACTGTCGTGAATGGATATAACATGGACACAAATGCCTATTCCACTAGGTATTTTTGTAAGTTCTAGCTATGAACTGTGAGCCAAAATGCTTTGCTGTCGTGAATGAGTATAACAGAGATACAAATGCCTATTCCACTAGGTATTTTTGTGCTCTATGAACAGTGAGCCATAAAAGTTTCGCTATCATGAATTTAGTATAACAAGTAGGTCCAGTAGTTTTTTTGTGTTTTTTTTCTTACATCAAGTTCTTCGGATTCCGCAAAGAAACCTTGACAATTAGACAAATCTCCAAAAGAAAAAGCCTGTCAATCATCATTTAAGATTTGGTTTTATCCCTTCAGAAAATACCTACCCACTACGTATACCTAGTACACTAGTACACTAGGTATAACGGCATGCAATACCTATTACGCTAAGTATCCTGGTTGTAATACCTATTCAAATAGGCACTATGTTCATAATACCTAGTCTACTAGGTATATTGATAACTTTTACCTATTCAATAGGTATCCTGATKCACACCTTTTGAATAGGCAAAAAAAGACATGCTGGAAATAAATAAATGTGCCAGTTTTTTCAATGTTTGTTGTATGTTTTACACACAGATTTAATCAAACTTGAAAGTATTCGTTTAATCAATCATTTGTAACTGGTTCTAAATGAGGAATGGGTCCAGGACGTTAAATGTATTTATTGTATTGGTTTATTAACATATAGGTAGAGCAACAAATTTTGAAGAAGAATTCTATAATCCAACTGAGGAAGAAATCAAGAAAGTGATGAAAGACCAAAATCTTTATAAAGATCCATTTGCTAATACTATAATTGCAGACTGTTATGGAAAGACACCTTTGCATGAGGCTGTTATTTATAGACATGAGGATGTCCTGAACTGTTTTATAAATTTTCAAGGTTTGTATACTTTTCATGTATAAATGATCTGTTTAATTGAAGTTAATTGAAACTCAACCAACTGAGTTTTTGTATGTTAGATATCTTGTGAGAAACCTCTTGTGAATATAATATTACACGTATATGCTGTCAATGAAACTACGACCCTAATGAAGAAATTACTATAAATGACAAGAAATATCTCAGAGATCATTTGATCAAAATTGAAAAACTGTTGAACATTGATAAAGACCAGTGATATAATATTTACTGATTTGAAAGTCAAGTCTGAAGTAGAGTCTGTACAACTTCAATCAATATTATTTGGATGTTTTCTGTGGAAAAACATTTAATAAGAAAAACTGAAATGTGTTAGGTGTTATAATGGAAAGTAACAGTAAGTACTCTTCCGATTTAAAAACAACTATTTGAAGTGAAGACGTTGTCTAATAATTATTAGTAGATCCTTATGAAAAGAGGGTTATAGATTACTAGAACTAGAACACTTGTTTTAGTCAATTGTACTTCCTAAATTCACTTATTCATTGCCTGTTAAAAGTCCCTAACATCGTAATATTGTTCAATGCTTCTTGTAAGTAGATGTTATAAGATGCGATATAACATGAAAAGGATAAACATCTTTGATATTTTAGAAAAAAATATTTATATAAATTATTCCAATTATTATAATTATGATGAATCCATTATAATTTGGAAACTCTTGAATGATATTATGTGTCATTTCTTTTATAGATAGTAACTGCAGAGGTGGAAGGCTTCACTTACTTCCTGATTACAATCTTATTGATTCTGAAGAACAAACATGTCTCGAGGTCGCACTTTGGACCAAACAATACAAAATGGCAAGTAGACTCTTGGAAGCCGGAGCAAACATCAATCTTCATTTACCTAGTGGTCTTACAATAATTCACAAAGCAATAATGAAGCAGGATGTTGAGACATCTTTATATTTATTAAATCATGAAGTGGATTCCAGTCTCAGGTAAGCATTGTAAAGCATAATAATATGCCGGGGGAGGCCCATTTTCTTAATAAGTGGGAGAAAACCTTTAACAGCCTAACAGCTTGTTTATTTCTAATATTTAATCATATGTTTGAGTGTTAAATTTATATATTGTTTGCTACACACACTCAAATATGATATTCATATCTCTGCTTATGCAATATACCATGTAATATCCACTATTTATGATGGATAAAATAACAGGTTTTCTCATGTTAAAAAGATTCATAATTTATCTTTTTTTGTGTGATGATATACCACTGGCATAGTGACATACTTGCTTTTTTAGTATGTTTGAATGTTTGAGTTCATGCTTTTTCATCCATATAATTATGTATAATTTATAATAAAAAATAGAACTTAACATGATCGCTTAGAGATCATATCCTTGYGTTCAATTAATATATCTCACTCATTCGCTGTACCCACTTGTTAAAACACTCACAGATAAAGTCAGTATCGCTGCCCACTCATGTAACATCTTCTGTTAAATTTATAGGACAAACAATAACACATCTGTTCTTCAACTTGCTATACAATACTGCCTTCAACCTGTAGTGGAAGCTTTATGCTCAAAGAATATAGACTTAGATGCTTGTGATGACAGTGGAAACTGCCCATTATGGACTGCCCTTGCGAGTGGACAAATCAACATWGCCACAACATTGGTATGCAAAAGTTCCAAATTTTTTTTTCAACCTAAATTGTGTACAGTTTCAGTATACGAACCAGAGTTTTGACAAAAATCTGAATGATGAAATGATTGGACTGTGTGAATAAATGTGTAAGGAATTACGATCATTGAAGTGAAATAATAATCAATAAGTAATGAATTGGTGCTTTATGTTCAGTTTAAAACACAAGGAGAGTGTTTTTTTATCAGGTATAAAGATTCTCGCCGAATTTAAACCTGATAAAACGCTCTCTCGAGTGTTTTAAATGCCTTCAAAAACTCCAACACTAATTTGAAACTCAAAATCTTGGAGAAATTGCCGTACAAATATGTTCTGAGGTAAATAGGGCAAACTGATCATGTGCAAAGCACTCTTGTCATCCCACATTGAATACGCAAAAAGTAAAATAGAACTGCTTTTGGCTGTTTACTGCTTTCGGTTGACATCCTGCATTGGTCAATGATCAAGTTTCAAACCTGAGACCTTTGCTAGGGTCATCGACCTTTATATTTGATAAAGGTCACCTTATTAGTATTCTTTAATATATAAAGAATACTAATAAGATTTAAGGAAACGAAATGTATAAGTAGCTGATTTAATTCACAACGTTTCGGGGTCATCGTAACTCCATCGTTAATTAAATCAGCTACTTATACGTTTTGTTTCCTTAAATTTTATTATTTCATGTTTTTCCAAACAACTACATACTTATTAATACTAATAAGGAGTGTTTTATCAGATATAAAGGTCCATGCATGTGACCAAATAGGCTCATTCTATTGGCCTAATAACTCATTAATTATGTATGAGTTTTTGAATGGAAGTCGAAACCATGAACTCTGCTATGCCAGTGCAGTGCTCTATCATTTCATCATGTATGGGTTCACCCAATGAGATTTTTATAACGATATTTCAGAAAAAACTGCACAAGGATATACTTGCATACTTACCGCTCTCCCAATTAACTGCAATAAAGTGACAAGTGCACCCTTAACATAAGGATTGCAATACTTGTCAAGGAAATTCCAAAAATGATTTATTTTTTAGATATCACATGGTTGCAGTCCAGATGCATGGAGCATTGGACCCAATGGATGCACCCATTCCTTACTTCATCGTGCCATATGTGATAAATATGTGGAGACAGCTTGTTTTCTCATAAGAAACAATTGCGACATCAACAGGTGAGATATTGTAAAATCTCAGCATTATTATTCATTATATGGCAAAACTACTTCCACTACTACTTTCTTGTTTAGTTATTCTCCACACTGCATACAATACATGTGCAATTTATTTAGAGATGGTAGAGATACAGTACAGCCTTTTGCAAAAATTATGAGAATTGTTGAAATATCTAAATATCATAATATCGAGTGCATGATGGGTAATCCCGCGCGATGCCCTTAGTCCCTTGTCTTTGTAGTTTAGGGGTTTTTTTGGAGACAGACTTATCCGTAGTTCTGAACATTTTCTCGATGTCAACAATGAATTCTTTAGCAAACCCGTGTGTTCYGGACAATATATGGATATGGATATTATGATATTTAGATATTTAGACAATTCTCATAATTTTTGCAAAAGGCTGTACATAATACAATAAATATATATACAATGTTAAGCTATTGGTTTACAGGTACATGTACAAGCCTTCTATGTGGGAATGTGGTAGTCACTTGATCATTACATCATTAGTTTGATTATTTAATAATAAATTGGCACTACAGTGGGTTCACACAGTCGCTCTGTTTATAATTACATATTGAAAAGCACATGGGCCAAAATTACGTCCCAAAAATAACAATGAAAACCAATTCAATGATAATAATAGTACTTTTCCCCTGTCCTTTCCTTCTTGATTTGAAATTATGAAATTAAACTTCTGCCTTCTGCACCAAATGTAGCCCCCGTAGACCTGGACCTGAAGGTGATGGAGGAATAGAAGCCTGGGATGGTCTTAGCCCTTTACATCTTGCATGCACTTCAAGCCTTGACATAGTGGTACAGTGCCTTGTGGAACATAAATGTAATGTGAACAGTAAAGTAAGTTATAAAACTCATTAATATTCATAAGGCAAAACACAATAGAAATCATAGCCCATGAAGAGAGTTGTATATTACATACAGATTTCWTGTTCATTTGCATAAACTTTTACTCTGATTTTCTCAGTCAGATTGATTTTTTTTTCAAAAGTTTCTTTAAAACCTGAGCTAATTTACCTTAACGTTTCATAAGTAATATACAATATTCGCGTGCGATCTGTATGAGGATTTAAAACAGCTCGCTTTCAGCTCACTGTTTTAAATCCTCATACAGATCGTCCGCTCATATTGTATATATTACTTATCAACATTATACATTATACATTATAAAAATTGACTGCAAAAAATATGAGACCTGACGTGTCAAAAATTTTCAGTCATACAATTATGAATTGTTAATTTGTAAAGACTACTTTTAATTGCATCATTTAATAATTTTGGTTTTCAGTATAATCATAACTGTCTCCTAGAACTCCAACATCCTGAAATTGTAAGCATGTCAGAAAAAAAGCTAAAAAATGCAAAAAGAGTGATAATGCATGTTAAACTTCGAATGAGCATGCCAATTGTGCATTATTGGTCCCTCATGTACTGATATGGCACAAACATTATCTGTTGTCATTTACATGAAATGTTGTCATTTTTTATGTGCATTTTAATTGGCATACAGGCACCAAACTTGGCACAGATGTTCCTTGGAGCAATCCAAGCAATTTCAGAAGGGGTGCCAAAGAATCGGAACTTAGGGGGGAGGGGAGGGGCAGTTTTGTCACAAACGCTTAATATCCCTTATTTGTCATCCCTTACTCAGCAAAGGCTGACTTAAACAAAGATAGATAAGGCATCTTATGGAAAAAGTCCTTTATTATAAATTCATGTACATTTTAGCACATAAATGCATGTAGCTCAATGATAATTGGCGGGTTTGAAAAGGTGAAATGTGAGTTGCAAAACCAAAACGATGTGTATTGAGTAATAGTCTTATTTCCGTCAATTATTACGGCCAATTAACTATCTTGAAATTGTATGGCCAAGAATATCGTGCTAATTAGTTATTCCAAAGATAAAAAGCTTAGAAACATAGAGCGTCCCTGAGTGTGTGAAATAAATTTGAAAGCACTTGCAGCAGCATTATTAACTGTTTTATTAAGTAACAACGACAATTGAAACCTAAAAGATGTTGTCTTATGTCATGAAGGAGTCAAGTTTACAAAGATATGGCCTATGAATTATTTCTTCAAATCATGTCAAAAAGCTTAGAAAGACCGACATCCAAAAACAACATTTTATGTGGCAATATTTTTTTGGCATATAAAATCTAGACTACTAGCTTCACAACAACTATAGTTGCCACATAAAGATTGTTTATCTACACGAACAAATACAAATTGTCACAGAAATTGTTCATGTCTAGTCATCTAAATACCCTCCTGTTGGAGCAGATCAGAACCATCTTGATGACAGGCCATTTGACTGGACTTCAATGAAGGATCTACTACTGCTGCACTGTTTGATCTCATTATGTACACAAATAGCTCAAAAGGGACCGATTATGCTTCTATGACCTTAGTAATTGATTCAATAGGGTGGATCACAACAGCAGCTTGATATTGTTCCGTTCCATCCATACATTTCATAACTGAAAGACAACGAAAAGTCTACATCAACACATGAACACATGTTGCCTTATTGGTAGCGTGCTTGGTCCCATCTTCTTTCTTGTTTCTCGTCATGGTCAACTCCCCCGCTCATCAAGACTCTTGGAGATTGAAATATATGGACGACCTAACAGTTGCTGAAACCTTCTCCATTAACCAGGATCAGAAGACAATGCAGGCAAGTGCCAAATGTATAGCCCAACATGTCAACAACCATAATTGTATGAAAGTCCATCAAAATGCAAAGAGATGCTTGAGTCTTTCTCAAAGTCTGTCCCAAACATCCTAGAAATCACCATTGGTATGCTGCACATTTCAGAAAAGCTAACACTGAACAAGCACATCAAGAAAGCATCAAACACATCTACTCCATGAGACTCCTTAAACTGGCAGGGGTAACTAGKAAAGATCTTCAGCACATGCATCTGCATAATCTCAATGAGATCAATTGTAACATGGAATAKGCAGCCCCTATATGTTTTTCCCTGTGTACTGCACGCCTCGTTGAGAACTTGAAGCAGTACAAAGATGTCTACTAAGAATAATGTTTCCAAACTATAAAAATTCTGATGCCTTACAGATAGCGAACATGACTTAAGTCATGTCAAATTTCAAGCAAATGAGAAATAAAGAATACAAGCTAAATCATTAGTTCCCTCTAACCTACATGTATGAAGACTGTTTATACTCTAAAAGATGACAAGGGAAATGCATGTTGAAAGTTTAGAACATACTAAAAGAACAGTCAATTTGTTTCCATCAAAGCTAGCAAGGAATACACTAAAGGGCCAACGAACTCTTTCAGAAACATTTAACTGGCAAATGAATTCAATTCTTATAATTGATACACATGTTTCACCTTCTCTCCTTTTCGACTTTTTMTACAAAAACATTAAATTTAGGAGCTTGCCTATGATATTCTTTTAATAAAATTATTATTATTGAAAGTATTTCCAGAGATTATCTTTCATTTTCTAAAAAGGGGGTGTACGCACACAGTTGAAGTTTTATGCATGCCACTTTGTAGCTAGATAAGTATGTAATTGACTATAAATATACCGTTTCTTCTAGTCTTTTGTCATCAATTCCCTGTTATTTTTGTATAGCTTTATACASAAACCACAAAATAACTTGCAAACCATTTAACAATACAATATAACTTTATATATGATCTTTTTGGGAAGTTTATACAGATTTAAGCGTTCTTGACAAAACTGCCTCTCCCCTCCCCCTTAGTTCCGATATTTTTRACACCCCTTCTGAAATCGCTTGGATTGACCCAAGGAACATCTGTGCCAACTTTGGTGCCTGTATGCCAAATTGCACATAAAGGCATTTTTTTGACGCTGAGCCACCCCACTAATTSAGACTGTTTTCTTCGGTTATTATATAAATTGTGGAAATAAGCGTAAACTTTTGTGAGCTGTGTTAGTGTTTATAAAGAAAAAGCTATGTAAAAAGATTAATTGAACACTGTAAAAAGTTGGTGATTGAATAATTATTTAACTCAATGATGTTTAGCGTCATTATGTTGTTTACACCTAGTAGTTTTTTCTGTTGTTAATAATTTCATGTCTTTGTTGTTCTGTGTGAGTGTGAATATAGAACAACAGGACGTTATCTTCTTTTTAAAATGCCGAAATATCTATATATAAACATACGAATTTTCATTCTCTTTTGAAAGTTTAACCCAATTTTCATGTTTATGAATTGAAGAATCACTATACATGTTTTCATAAATTGGCTGAAAGAGACTGTAAGAGGAAAATTGAAAGAGAAAACAAGACACAATTTAATATTCAACTGTACATAATAATACTCTTGAAAATGAAACTTCAACAGATATGTTAATATTTGAAATACTTAATATTTATCGAACAGGTAGAAGTAGACCATGCGATGAGAAGTAAACCATACGCTACTGCAGTTGTTGCTATTTTTTCTAGAGCTTTTGCTGGACAYCAGCATCATCAGGAGAGTGAATATTTTATCCTGGATGCTTGTTCATGAAAATGAGGCTCATCAGTCTTAAAAGTGAAAATAGACATTCTTAAAATTTCAGATGTAGCAAATATGTATTTTAACATACCTACTTAAGATTATCTGAATGTAATAATTATGTGTACTCTCTTATGKTATGTACAAGTACTTTCCCAAAATGTAACTTTGTTTTCTGTTTTAATGTTAGGATTCAGAAGGACGTGCTCCCATACATATTGCCATAAGTTCTAAACATCCAATCATAACATCTTTACTCCTTGCTCATCCTGATATTGATGTGGCTTCAAAAGACAGGAAGGGAAATTCACCCTTTGCTTTGGCTATGTCAGTCAAAAACCATGAGGCTGCTTCTGCCATTTTATCTCGAGAACCAGATGCAGCTGAACAGGTATGTGTGTGCCCATAAATCCAAAGAGATTGTTAGAGAACAATAATCCTTAGGAGACACCAATAACTGCAACATTGTTGTGTTGTAATCCAGGTGAACCGAAGTGAAATAAATAAAATATAACGAAAAAAAACTATATTTCATAAATCAGATACTCAAAATTCTATTTGTCAAAGTAATTATAATTCGATTCATCGTATCGTTCTTTATTTGTCTACACAATCAATCTTCGAGTTGTGTTGCCATTGGCAGCTTGATTTGAAAATTCCTATGTAAAAATGCCCTATTTTTAGCCCTATATGTTGTTAGGATWTTGGTTGAAGCCCTTTATAAAGCTTTCCAACCCCTCCTCTCTACCAAGACTGGGTTTTTGGTACTGAAAGAGCATTCAATAAGTTGTGTAAACTTTGAAACACAACTTTGAGCAAYGGAGGATGGGGGAATCAAGCAGATATTAAACAAAATCAAACTTTTCAAGTGTTACACTTTGTATCTCCAAAATATTTTTCATGGGAAACCTACTGCCTATGTAAATTTGAGTTTGGAATGATTTCTAATTAATAAATCACAATTTAGAATTGGTTACCAAGCTTTTTTAATAATTTAAAATGTATTTACGGTATATGAGATAAAGAAAGATCTGATATATACATCAGATATTTATCAGATATCACAGTTGAAAGCTTCATATTCAGATGTAAAGAACAGGTTAACCATGGTTAAATGGTGAAAATTACATAATTATGGCCTAGATTTGTCTAGAAAACAAAATTGTTGAGTGGTTGTCATATTGATGGAGTTTCCATGTACAAACTAAAAATTATAATGTAATGTTGGCGGAGAAATAATTTCATATATCCATTTTTGAAGAGGCTCTATTCTATAGATAAACAATCATTTTTCTTTCTTAAGGCCTGTGCGATTTTTGAGGCGCGATTGTCGCGCGACAATCGCCTGAGTTTCGAACATGCTTGAAAATTAGATKCAAATCGCTGCGATTTTTAATTCCCGCGACAATCGCAGAGCTGTTTACACGTATGATTTGAGGTGCGCGAGAATAAATTGGCGATTGTCWYGCGACCAAAGGCCATCATGCTTCAAAAATCGCAAGTGTAAACGGGCCTTTATGGTAAGCTAAATAAAACAAAAATAAATCTCTTACAGTTTGATGCCAAGGGACTGAATTTTCTTCATGAAGCAGTGTTAAACATTGATGTTGAGACAATATTGTTTCTGGTTGGAGTTGGTGCTGATGTAAACTCACAAGTACAAGATTCATCTCACCAGACTGCCCTGCATCTAGCTGTKACATCTGGCAATGAAATGATAGTCCGGCACTTAGTAAGTAATTTAAAGCACTCAGAGTGAATCATTGAAATTTCTGCAGGATCTGCATTCTTGAACAGCATGAAATATTTGACACATTTTGCATATATGTATGTCGTCTTGATACCACAACGTGTTCAAAACTCAAGAGCACTTCGTGGGTTCATTCCAAAGTTTTAGTATGCGAATAAGTATAGCAATACTTTTGTATGCTATTTTCACTGCAAACTGCTTTTCAGATAGGTTAACTACAGTTATGAGAGCTATTTTTGCAAACTTCGCATGCATGCATATGGGCATTCAGTTTCGTTAAGTAGATGCAAACCAAGAATAGATAAATCCAATGAGTCGTTGCAATACATGTACATGYAACAAGAGCATAGTATTTTTTTTAAGGAAATTAATATATTGAATGCAATGATATGCACCAATGAAATGAAAAAGAAAAGACACTGTTATAATAATGTGTTTATTATGATAAAGATTTTTATCAGTGTTGTTAATTAATTGAAACATTCAGACGTACTCATTTTTATGGCTAGTGTCTCAAAAGTCTTAATGATATCGTCTTGTAAGCATGTGTGTGGTTGGTTGGAATTCGGGATAACTGCGCTGGGACCTGCTTTTTCTATTTTGTACCTTCATAACTTTCTGTTTTTTGGGGGGTCTCCTGTATAATACGTCCTTTCCTGTGCATTTTCCACCGAGAACCACTTGATTAAGAGAGGGACGAAGGTTACCCCTACAAGACAGCAAAATCGTGAATTTCCAGACCGTGTGGGTGGTAAAAGCTAGACTCCATCCAAGAGTCAAAGGTTGATGTAAACTGCTTGAAACTTGAAATATAGTCAACTAGATAAATATTGACACCCTGTATAAGAATTTCTAAACACAGAAAGTACACCCCTATTCAAGACAACTGAATCTGCAGTCTGTACCCTCTTCGAGATGTGAACATCAAAAAAAAAAACAATTTGTATAGTAAATACAGGAGAACCCCACCCCCCAGTATGTCTGTGTAAAAATTGATTTCATCATGGCCTAAAATCATGGCAATAAAAGCATGAACTACAGGAATTTATGTAACATTGGGAAAAAAGGTTTTTATTAAATTTATCCTCTTGTCTGACTGATTTTTTCTGAAACCTGTTGTATTTTAAAATAAGTGGATATTGTTAATTTTAAAGAGAAAGGTATTCCTCTATTCCTACAAATGATGAAGTGATGATTGTATTTTTTAGCTTTTAGCTGGAGCTCAATTGAATGATTGTGATAAACATGGTCAGACGTCTTTACACATAGCAGCAATCAAGAATCATCCAAGTATTATAAGTGCATTGTTAAGAGAGGGAGTTGACCTTGATGCTGTCGATGAGAGGGGAAATAATGGTAAAAATGGATATATTTATTTGAAATTAAAAATCTGTTAAATAAACTCTAAAGCCATTGTTGTTTTGGCTGTTTTGTATGCAAAGTATGGTTGCTTTAGTAGTAGTGTGGGCCAAAAGGTCATCACCAAAAAGGACCAAAATCCTCTGGGTTATGGAATGAACTATAATCACAATAGTAGTAATAGAGGTTCACCGACCAGTATCAGGATGGATTGTGGATCAGCTTGGGTGATGTCACCCAATGGGATAAGAGATGCTTAGCATAAAGGTGGACCATAGATGCACCGTACAGTGAATTCTATTGTTGCTATGGTAATAAAAAACTGTTCAATACTGCCTAAGATGGGTGGATTAAAAGTTGCTTTCAGAATTCTTGATGCACCGTAGTGTGTCATCTTCGGTTTGGATTGATTGATTGAGGAGTGCACAAATGATGGAATGGCAAATTAATAAAATGAATGATTTGACCTGACATCGACCTGACCTGAATTCTGAAATGGACATGACATTGACTCCACATCGACCTGACTGACATCGTTCTCACACTGCATCAACATCTTATAGACATGAACATTCATGTCTATAATTTATATATACAGTCATTCATTCATAATTCAGTCATTCGTTCAACCAATCTGTCATGAAATCAATCATTCAGTCAACCATGCAAACCATTGGACGACATCAGCCCGACTGATCCACATCAACTGTGATCAACCAGTGGGTGGACCGCTGTTTTCTATAGTAATGACAATGCAAACGTTGCAATATTTTGACCATAGATGTGAATGGTTTGACTTATGAAGAAAGTTCTGACTGTTCTGACTTGCAACTAAGAAATTTGTATGCTGTGGTTCCCATTTCATGTATATTTTTCTTATTATTTTGACTTTTACAAAATGTAAACAAAAGTGTTGCAAGTAATGTTTACAACATGAGCAGGCGTGTTGTATGGGATTGTACAATCTCGAGCCGAAGGCAAGAGATTGTAAAGCCCATACAACACGGACACGAATGTTGTAAATTACTTGTCAAACGTTTAGGTGTATACATTCATAATCTACTAAAAACTAAAAGATAAAATTTAATTAGGCTGAGAAAATTAGATTTGAAGTTTATACAAATCAAGACAGTTTTGTATCAAATATTACAACACCCTACATGGTTGTGATTTCTATTGTGTTTCCCTCATTAATTGTTCATGAGTTTTACAATAATTTTTAAAAAAKAACACAACACTTTTACATGTCAAAGCAACTTTCTTAACGCCATCTTCAGTTTGAATATGATTACATTTTACAACCAGTTACATAGCAGTTATAGAGATAATATATGATACCACAAACCACATTCACTTCATCTCTTTTTTTGACCGTTCTAATTTAATTTATTATCTATAACTACTATATACATGTAACTGATTGTAAAGTGTAATCATATTCAAACTGAAGATGCCTTCATGAAAGTCTAAATATATCTTGGTCATTTATAAGTGTTGTGCTATTTTTGAAAATCATTGCATCACTTGTGCTTTTATGCTCACTTGGAATAAAAGCGTTACCGGTCATCTCGCCCCATTGCCAATAAAAATGGAGATTTTCGGACTACCCAGGGTGGAATTTTGCAGTGGAATTTCAGGGTGCAAAAAATGATTTTAACTCTTAAAGTAAAGATGAAAAAAGTGTTTTCAGGCGTCATGCAATACTGCAAAAAAAGATAGAAAGAAAGAAAACAACCAAGGCATTCTTTTAGATCATGCATCCTTTTATACCAGATGTTTAATTAGTAGTGTTTGTTTGCTTCATCATTCCAGTAGGGACCAAAAGTCGGCGTGAAAGGGTTATATGAAACAGGTTATATTATGTTACGGCTGTTATTCGCCCAATATGACATAAAYGAATAGAACTCTAATATTCAAATGATTCAAGTAATGCCTATGTGAAGATTACATTTATATAGTTTCCATCACTAAGAATAAGTGAGGATCACAAGTATATACAAAAAACTGTAATATCAATTCTTATTATATTTTTTCAGCACTGCATGTGTCAGTACAACATGGTCATCTTGAATGTGTCCGAGTTCTTCTAACAGAAAGTTCTATCAATGCAGAATTAAAAAACACAAGGTATCATTTTTTTATAAGTAATTGCATGGCTCTGAGGGAGATTAGGGATGAAATGTTCCCGAAGCCAAGGGTAGATAAGTTGAAGTCCCAACTATTCTATTACTTTGTAATACCATGATTTCCGATGAAAAAATTGAACTTGAGTGAATTTGAATTCTTGTTTTTTTGTATGCTCCAATATTTTCAATCAGTAATATAAGTAATATAAACATTCCAACAAACAATTCATGCATGAATTGGAATGTGACATGAAAAGAATGGATACGCACTGTTCTAAGAGTATCACTGAAGTACTTCATTGTATCATTGTAAAGGTTTTCTCAGAACAACAGTACAAAATGTTATTGGTAATCCGTTTGTACTGATTTCCCACAACAAACTTTGAAACAATTGCTTCTCAGTTCTATTCAATGCTGAAGTTAACAAACCTTAACTTGAACCCCGAAAAGTTGTTTTAATATTTTCAAGTATAATGCCAAGAAGCTTATCAACTATTATGAAACATTGAAATTCGTTAAGTGCACATGCTCAGTGGTACAAAGTAGAGACTCGGAACCAGAGCTACTCGGTCTATTTGGCCCAAAAATCATCCCACATTTCAATGTGACTGAGATGATAACCAGAGCGTTCATTGCAGAGGTAAAAAGAGGACAGCTGTAGGAACATTCAGTTGTCCCTACTAGAAAGCAAAGGTTTCCTTTGCCTTCCGTTCGTTATGAATAACATRAGGGGCGATAAGTCTGAATATTCCCTTATTTGTTATTATGCATGAGGATGATTACTAGTAACCATCACTCATGCTATTCATGAGGGAGGGAAACATCCCTCGGAAGACAAGAGGTGATCATGGTATTATGAACTGTCATCCTTTTGACATTCCTGTTGCTATAACAGTGGTTAGAGAACACTAGAATGAACTGTGGTGGTCATTGTAAATATGTATTTTTGGAGACGTTGATTGTTTTGACCAGCATCGTTGGAGTGATAGTGTGGAAATGTGACTGTGACATTTTCTGTTTTCATTTTAGAGGTCAAAATCCTCTCCACATTCTTTGCCAGTACTCAAATGAGAATGCTTTGGCTATTTTGGAGCTGTTTTGCCAAACAATGCCAGAATACCCAATAAATGCATCGGATGTTGATGGGAACACACGTAAGTATGGTGTATGAATGCAATGTCTATGTTCTTTCGTATCTTTTTGTATTTTCCWTGTCAAATAGGAACTAAATGTTAACTGGAATGAAGACAAGGGAGTAATCACATTTGCGAGGTTGCTGAACATTGGAATTATGTTTCATTTTTAGAAATTTTTTGATGTAATCTGCTACACTTTTTTAGAATTAGATATGAATATGAATGTGGTGACCTATCTTTTTTATTCCAATTTATAATTGATATATAGCGAGAGTTTTATGAATTGGAAGTCATAAATAGAAAAATATTGATGTATATGTTCATGTGTGTAAATATGATTTKAAACTGTTTTATCAAGTTTACAAACTTTCTAGTCATACTAATAAATGGTTGTGCTTGAAAATAGCTCTTTTTCTGGCTTACATAAATGGAGCAGCTCGCCTTTGTAGGGAGATTCTTCGAAATGGTGGTTTGCTTGCCACAGTGAATAAATATGGCATATCGATATTCAACGCTGAAGTGCCAACAAAAAAATTACTGTTCTCATTACTTGGTAAGCTTGAATGCACTTATTTGTGATTTTAGTTCCAATGTTTTAAGAAAGGGTTAATTATATTAAGTAAACAGATTGATATGCCATTACGTAAGTGCCAAGAATGCCATGAGGTGATAACTTTTGTTGTTGTTTATAGATATGCTTGATGCTGAGCCCCCCTGGTCAGATGGTTCGAATTGCCATGAATGCTCCGTGAGGTTTACCGTTAAAACAAGAAAACATCACTGGTGAGAATGCTCAGTGCAAATAGCGCATCTATCACAACTAAGAGATGTAGTTTGTTGAATCATTAAGATTTAAAGAGTTTGAAGTAATATATACAATATGAGCGGGCGATCTGTATGAGGATTTAAAACAGCGAGCTGAAAGCGAGCTGTTTTAAACCTCATACAGATCGCGCGCGAATATTGTATATTACTTATGAAACGTTGAGGTAAACTAGCTCAGGTTTTAAAGAAACTTTTGAAAAAAAAATCAATCTGACCGAGAAAATCAGAGTTAAAGTTTATGCAAATGAACAAGAAATCTGTATGTAATATACAACTCTCTTCATGGGCTATGATTTCTATTGTGTTTTGCCTTATGAATATTAATGAGTTTTATAAAATTTATTTAAGATTTGTTGACATCAAGCAAAATGAGAAGCTGAAAAAATGTCAATGTTCATGTCAACTGAATAAACAAAAGAAAAATCAATCTAATCAAACAACAGTTTAGTTATGATAAAGAAATTGAGGGATCTCTAGCCTGAAAAAAAAAACAAATTTAATGCAAACGTTTCGATTCGTTTTATCATGCAACATCCTAGCTGCAACTTTAAAAAAGAACAGTTTAGTTAGATAGCTTAAATATTTATAAATTTATGCAAATGAAAATGAGATTCAAAAGATAAAAGACCGGATATGTAGGAGGAATGAATAGTAGATACCTATGATAAATCCTTTGTTGAAATTCCTCCAAGAGGCCATGTGACGTAACTAGAAAACTAAGAATAATTATAAGAGATGTTATGCATRAAGAGATTTTGCCTTTGTTTAATTCAATTCAGATTTCTTTTCTCTAATCAAGCTGACTTRAAAATAGCTCAAACTGCAGTTACATTGTACCTTACGGAATGACGGCACCTTTTTTCTTGAAAGGCGATGAAAAGGCCTCTAAAATGTTGTGGGTACTTTTTTATCATCATATAAGTTAGTCATCGCAAAATGAGACATTCATTGGTATACATAAAAACGTGAAGTTGAAAATATTTGTCCATGGAGAGTACATCAATTTTAACCTTGGTTCATCGTCTTTTGCTTTAAGATGGTTGCGTTGTTGTAGAGTGAAAGTCACATAAGCATGAAACAATTCTTAACTATGTAGTGCTAAATAAGATTTAGTTATCAACTAACTAAGAATTGAGAACAATGCTACAAAGGAATTTAAATAATTGGCATTGTGTTTATGCTTTGTTGAATTCTTAGTTAGTTGATAACTAAATCTTATTTAGCAATGCATATTAAGAATTGTTTCGTGCTTATGTGACGTGCACTCTATGTATGTTGCTTGAAGAAATAGCATGTGATAAGCAAGTTACTTTGAAAACAGTCCCGTAGGCTGGGGGGGGGTCGGTTCTCACAAGCTTGAAAGGTCAGGTGTTTTTATTGTTCTATTTTAAGATTCTTTTGTGATGAAATGGTTTTGAGTATGACCTCCTCATACTGTACAAGCAGCCAGTACTTACACACTATACTGTACATAAAATTATTTTAGTTKAACATTTAATTTTGGTCCCCCATTTGTAAGGCAGCCTACAGATCCAGTAAAAACAGTTGTATTCAGAAGTAAGGAATTTGTTCTGAAAAAGAAGCTGTGTTGTAATGTAGTCAACTTTGCTGAACTGAATGGTGAAGAGTTTTCTTGAGAGATGTACAGTAAGTTGTACCCTGCGAGCAGAGTGTATTTCCTTACCTCAATAAAAATTCGCGAAGGAAAATTATTTTCCTTCGCGAATTTTTATTGAGGTAAGGAAATACACTCTGCTCGCAGGGTAAGTAAGTTGCAGATACCAAAAAAGTGAAACAAGAATTCATAAATATATTTGATTGCATAAGATTTTTCCCGGAAAAAAAACGAGASAATATAAACTGACAACTGGAGTCACAAGCTATCTACCCTCTATTATAGTAGTTTGATCATGGAGAACATTTCGTAATGTGTGATTTTTGAAGGCACTGGTTTGCAATGTTACGACCATTGCCGTGAGATTTCATGAACATCGTTTAAACACCCCTTCAAAAGTCTTTCCTACCATCGAACATTTTAGTTTTCTTTTGGCATTAATAAACTTAATGAGTGATCATAGCTTTTATGCTGTTAATTTATCTGAAAACCTAAAAAGCACGGTGTTTTAGGACTATGAAGAATAGCAGAAGAAAAGTGTGATATGAGAGAAAGGATGTGAATGTTTATTTAATTCTGCTGCAACTGTCAAATGATAACATCGAAGATCATAACTTAGGCAATAGTTGAGTTTTTCGCTGTGTTTAGTYGAGTTTTTCGCTGTGTTAGCCTCAATTATGTGCAAAATATTCCAAAATTTTGATAAAACTTGTGAAATGTCAAACTATTTCCATTGTCTTCTATACTCACGGATCTCTTGCATTTGCACGGGCTGTTAATGAATAAAAGAATTTATTGCATGGTTTTGAGGCTAACACAGTGTAAAAGAGATCGCTAAAAGGGTTTATTATCTCTGCAATCAATCCACTGAAACAGAGGGTGGTTAAGGCTGATCATTATCTGCAAAAGGATGTTGAAATCATAAGTTAGGGTTTCTTTCAGACAATWGAGTTAAAAGTTGACCAATGCGATCACTTCCCTACTATGATATAGCTATTTCAAAAAAAGTTGTTGGATAAAATGGCGAATGCCAATGGTTGAACAGCGATTGCAGGACTGAAAGTAGCCATGGATTTTGGTAGTTGAAAGGCATTTTAACAACTCATTTACAGATAGTAAAGATAATCTGTTTAGATAATCTGTGGTAAACATAGGCTCCATTTGGTCCCCATTTCTATGTAAGGTGAATCCAATAAGTGAAATTTTGTTTATCAAAACAGTGTAACCAAAGTCCCTTTCAGTCGTGGAATCTCCCTTCGACAATCGCCATTCACTGTTCTCCCCGACAACGTTTTTTGAAATAGCTGTATTATTATCAATTGACAAAAAGTTGACGTCAACCGGGTTTCACGAAACGCGACTAGCCCGAACTGGTTTCTGGGTAAAAATCAAGGAAGTGTCAAATCAGAGATTTGAACGCATTTGTGGTTGGAACAACTGACACATAATGTGTGAAAAAAATTTCCAAATCACGGGAATGTAATTATGCATGCATGTGATGTTGATTTTTGCATCTGACATTGTACTGCATCATGTTGGGGAATACAATGTTGCATGTTTGTCTTGGAGTTCTTAAAAAAGAGAATAAACGTCGAAAGAAATGGACACTATACTGGAAGGTGTTGTTATGTCTTTTCATTGATTTTTACCCAGTAACCTGTTCACGTTTGYCGCATGCTATGAAGTCTGGTCAACGACAACCTTTTGTCAATTGACTATATTCAGATTACATTTTATGCAAAGAAAGAGTGATTGACATACAGCAAACACAGGAAAGCCTTGAAAGAAAATCAAAGTAAATACTAACAAATTTTGTCTATCAACCCAATTTGCCAGTATCAAAGAACCAGAACACAATGAAGATGAATCCACATGGGACGGTTTTTTAATTCATCTTTATTGCGTTGTAGATCATTGATACGGGCAAATTGTCTCAAAATAGCCGCCGTTTGTTGGTATTTAGTTTGATTTTATGTCATGGTTTTCTGCATTTGCTTTACTAATGAACCTATGGGATGTTTTCACACCAAAAAAAGTTTTGCAGAAGCTTTGACTCCATTTTATTTTGAKAAAAGCTCCAGGATCTTTGTACATAAACATGAGATGAAGCTTGGCAATTTTTTTAAAAAAGTCATAGTTAATTTTTTATTTGTCTTTTTGTTTTAACTCTGTAAGTCTGTTCTATAACAGTTGATGTTATGATGTTGCTACTTGCTATTAATTGATTAGAAATGGAATGAAGGCAAATGTAAAGAAATATTGATTATTAGATGGAATGATGACTAGTTTTGTCTAGAAAGTTGATAAGGTCAACTTATAACTTCATGGACAAATGCAACCTTTTATTAATTATTTATGCTTGTGTGCTTATTTTTTTCAGCCGGCACTGTGGTCGTCTTCTTTGTGGCAAATGCTCTGATAAACAAATTCCTATAGTAAAGTATGAACTTACTAAACCAGTGAGAGTATGTAGTATTTGTTTTGATATGTTAACTTCGGGAGTTCGATAGACTTTCTGGCAGTGACAGACAAGATTGGCTTTTACATGAACAGGATATTTGGACATTGTCTTGGCATAATTTGCATGAGTTTGATTTTATTGAAATAAAATAATTCTCTTTAGATGGGAATGGATAGATTAACCCAATTTGTATAAGTAGTAGCAACTCTAGGGGAGCGTTCATTATTTACAGCNGCTTCGCCATGTAGTAGCCAGGCGACCTGATCTTAAGGTTATTTGGTCTGTGTGAGTCATGTCTTCACTATCATCTGGCTCCTCTGAGGAGTCAATATCTAAGTCATTTAGTACAAAGTCTTCTTCGGAATCTGAGATCTCATCACCATCATCTTCGCTGTCTTCTTCAACTTCACTTTCATCTTGCGAGTCTTCATAGCTGGCACATGCAGCAGCCTGAGTGCGAGCCCTTGCTGAGTCATTCCTAAGAACATGACTAATTATACATGTTACTTTGTCACCCTTAAGAGCTTTGACACCCACTAGCAGTTTAAAGTTGTCAAGGTACTTATTGAGTTCATACACYTTCAAGTCTTTGATCTCCCCASTCAGAGCAAGTGCTTTCCAATCATATTSCTGGAATGTCTTTTCTCTCCRTTCTCAATGGAGTTGAATTAGGGAAACTTGAAGAGAAAACTTGGACAACCTGGAGTTTATTTATCCCAGAGATGTATTTGATTCGGACACCTCACTCTACTTGTAAAACCAGTGATAAATATATTGAAAGAAAGACTTGTGTCATTGAACAGTAGTGATTGCAGTAGTGATTGCAGTTGTGATGACAGTTTTGAGGAAGAGGATGTCTATTAATACATGTATTGAAGATAATCACATGGGATTTTAATATAATGGTGAACTCAATGCCAGTGGAATTGTACTCCTTGCAAACCCAGAGACAGATCATATTGAAAGATACCATTTTTATACACTTACACTTCATTCGTTCTAAAGTGGCAGTTTGGAAATATAATATTAAAATACTGTTTTTGTTAAATCATCAGAGTATTTTTTGTGTATGCATGGAGAAAATGTTTAAGTAAAGCTTTCCTCATATATTTCCTGGAATTTAAACATGGCTAGTTTAATGATCGACCACTATCTAATACAGAATACCAAGTATATTAATTTTTTATTGGAAGGAGGAGGGGTTATCAAGTTTAGTCCCAAAAAAGAGGAGGGGTCATTGAGAGTGCTATATGCTGAAAAGAGGGGTTATACACAAAATGGTATTTGAAGCTACATAATCACCCACCCCCCCTCCTGGCTGTAAATAATGAACGCTCCCTAGGAAAGGACAAAGTGAGAGAGTTGCAAACTAACAAGAAAGCCACTAATATTTGATCCCAAGAGTACATTAGAATTGTTCATATAACACAGATAATTAGTATTCCACGTCAGCTATATTTTTGTCCTGTTGTCACGACCAATTGATGGTGCTTTGACCTTGTGTTCTGACTATGATGCATTTGAAAGTGAAGCTTTCTCCTTTGTTGACATGGTTTATTCTGTTGATGAACATAAAACAGTTTTAAAAAAGACCTGTTCTGCCAGCAGGAAGGAATGTATGTTCCTTAAGGAAGGACCAACTTAATTAGTTTCAACTATAGTAAGTAATTGTAATTTTGTTTTTTTTCAATACTGTATTGGTTGTTAAGTCATTCTGACACTNAGTTTGATTTTATTGAAATAAAATAATTCTCTTTAGATGGGAATGGATAGATTAACCCAATTTGTATAAGTAGTAGCAACTCTACAAGGAAAGGACAAAGTGAGAGAGTTGCAAACAAACAAGAAAGCCACTAATATTTGATCCCAAGAGTACATTAGAATTGTTCATATAACACAGATAATTAGTATTCCACGTCAGCTATATTTTTGTCCTGTTGTCACGACCAATTGATGGTGCTTTGACCTTGTGTTCTGACTATGATGCATTTGAAAGTGAAGCTTTCTCCTTTGTTGACATGGTTTATTCTGTTGATGAACATAAAACAGTTTTAAAAAAGACCTGTTCTGCCAGCAGGAAGGAATGTATGTTCCTTAAGGAAGGACCAACTTAATTAGTTTCAACTATAGTAAGTAATTGTAATTTTGTTTTTTTCAATACTGTATTGGTTGTTAAGTCATTCTGACACTCTGAATAGCAACATGTGCATGCATACAAAGCATGTGTAAAACAGCTCTTCTAGGCTGAAAGTAATAAACCTAGTTGAATGTAATAATTGTTGTAAAAGCAGTCCATTATGAAAAGATGTCACAACAAAGTTCAAAGATATCAAAACTCAGATGTTATATGTTTAGTATAATTTACTCTCCCTAATGTGAGCAATTTGAATGACTGAAAAAGTAAGCTCACCACATTAGTGAAAGTACTATGRCAATTCAGAAATAATAGTAAGATAGCAAGCTCCAGGTCTGGTAGCCAGCCATGCACTCTTACTGGTCCTTGATTGTGTGCAGGAGAGTGTGCAATGCAATTGAGATTGGAGTAATGGAATGTCATTGTGTTTTAGTGCATACATAAATTAACCACATTTTTGTACCTAACTTGACCAGGCAGAGGTCTATGTAATATGTATGTTCTAAATGGAAAAAAAACATGATTACTACAAAATGTCTGTTTGTTAAAAGACTAGCTGTTTGTGTTTTCCTTTGTTCCCATTGAACGATTATTTGAATTTGTCAAGGCTGAAAAATTAAAGAACACTGACTGAATTTAGTTTGGATATTGTGTGAATGATATGCCGGGGTACATGTATATGCTGTTGTCATCGATGATTGCCAGCTTATAAAAGATTAGAATGCAGGAAAATTGTGCAAACTGATCGTCTGTGGTTAGAGTATTTGCATTGAAGTCATCATTAATGCTAACCTTTTTGAAAATGTGAATATATKAAGGCACCTGATATCTTTAATTGAAGTCAGTCTTATTTATTGTGATATATGCGATGAATATGATTGTATGCTGACCTCGATTTATACAGACAAAGCAAAAAAGGGAAAAATTTAATCTGATGTTATTATTTCCAAGAAATTGTTATTGCTCATTCCATAAAAATATCTTATATAGCGTGCTTATTCACAATTCATTGTACTTCATAATGTAGATTATGAGTAAATGCAGCATAATACGTTCTTTATATTTTCTTATTTCTTGAAATGTATWAATTGTTATTTATTTTTTGCTATGTTATGATTAAAGTCCAACAATGAGGATTGGACATGATTTCAAGTCMTCCCAATTTGTTCCAGTCCGAGGAGTTAGTGTTGTAATGGAACTAATTGCAAGGAATTGAAATCCCATCCAGTCTGTATTGGAGGACTATGAAGGACTTGTCATAGTCATTAATTATTCGGGAGGGTAAAAAAGGGAAGAAAATATATATAACAGAAGTATAGAGATTAATTGCATCTCCATGAAGGTTTGAAGTTAATAATTTTGATAACATGAAGCAGTGTTGGCTGTTATTGAATTCCCRAACATCTTTCTGAAAATATTTTTTTTGATAGTGTAATGGTATAAGACAGCTGTAAAAAAAGTTAGAAGTAACTGGAAATAAAGTAGAAGTAACTAGAAATAAGGTAGAATACAATGTCGGAGTACTTCCTCTGGTTTCCAGTTACTGCACATGGTACAAATGATTGGCTGTATACATAATTAATAATTAATGAGAAGATATATTGAAGCTTTTGATGAACAAGGATTTGAAAAGCAAAGAGACTTGGGTATATTTGATTTTGTCTGCAACTATACAAGTTGTATTTCCTTWACAWAAAAAAAAGTTCGGAAAGCAGTCATCAGGGATTCCATGTAAAATGGAAGCACTATTGATTCCTTAAACGACCAATCGTGTAACAATTTTTAGTTATAGAACACTCTATAAAGAAATGTGCCATTGTRTAAGATGTTGTGTTGCAAAAACAAAAATTTGTGGAGCTAATTACTGTGAACGTACTAAGTTTTTGTTTCAAGTAGAAGCAATTGTGTGTGATCTTATATTGAAAAGGTGTAAGCTTAGTGTCAATAGTACTGATATAAATATGTTTATAAATTAATGACCAATCTTTATTAGAAGAGTGTAGTTTCCTTTCTATAGTTTTCTGCTCTGTAGGAGTACTGGCTATAGTTTTAGTTATATATAGGATTTTAGAATCTAAGGTAGTGGAGAGAAGAATCAGGATTTTTAAAAAGGGATTTGTAAGAATAATCTTTGTGCAATGTGATATCTGATTTTGGACTGAAAAGATTTTACAGCAATAGTTTCCTGTAATAGTTTGCAAATTGCTGATGGCTTGAAAGTTGAGAAAAAGCTGTAATGGCAAAGTGTAAATCTTTTCTGCTAAAAGGTGTTGACTCGCACTGAAAGAAGGATTGTCATAAATAAGCCCCWGTTATGATTCTCCCCTTGAAATACCTTTGCATAATATTAGAAAGTATAAAGTACTCCCAATACCCAAGCTATTTCTACTTATGGCACACGAAATTCAACAGTTCACACAATTTGATCATTKAAGCGTTAAGACACGTTTTCTYGTGAGAGGTCACAAGTATGAATAAATATAAAAGCTATAAGAAAAGTTTTGGAAAAAGGCAAAATTTCTATTTGCAAAGAAGTAGTCAATTTTGTTATATATGACTTTTAATCTGTATTTGTTAGTAATGGTAATTGCCAATAATGATGAAAAATTACTGTAGTGAGAAATTTGTATTTTGTAGCTTCAGTACATCCACTTTTGGACATCTACAGTTGTATATTTTTTTGAAATTGTATCATGAGGAATGTCAAAAGATGTATAACTTTTCCCATACATAATCTTTCCATGTGTGTAGCAATTATACAATTTAAAKAATATTTGATAGAAGAGTGCAGTGAAATGCCCCTCCCCACCTGCCAAAAAGAAAATATTCCCTCCCAAAAAAAGTAAAAAATAAAGTTACCTATAGATATTCGTGTAATAGCATGTTKGCATAATTATTTCTTGTCATAGTATACACCAAATACAAACCTCAGTCAATCACATGAAGTAAAGGCTAATTTGACAGGTGCCCAAACATTGAAAGTGCATGGATAAATTGTAAAYAATTGGTGTTAGGTTTGCACTTTGGCAGTGGAATACTACACAATTGAAAAGAAAAAACTGTTGTTGACATTTTGCACAAATTTTAGTGAAGCAAATTAATGTAAAGAAGAAAAGGTGATGTGGACATTGTGAAGTAATGACCTAAGATATGAACTTGAAACTATGATCGAATGTTAATGAATTAATGAATATAACTAATCAAATTCTATGTAATATGAAATATAAAAAGAAAGAAATTTATTTGTTAAAAAAGAGTGAATGAAGTTAAAAACATAAAACGTAAAAAAATATTCATAATGGAKATTTTTAATACAATGATGGAGGACACTTTGAAAACTGAGGTTATTAGGGTTGTATTGTTATTTGTTGAATTTTTTGAATATGTTTTCTCCAAACTTTGTGCCATTGTTTGGTTAATATATATGTCTGCAGTTGATATAATAATGCAATGTGGTTATTCAGAATCATGCATATGTTTTGATAACATGGACATGAAGAGATAGAGGAAACGCAAGAAAACCATGAAATAAAATCAAACCAAATACTAACTAATAGCGGCTATTTAGAGACAATTTGTCAGTATCAGTGGACCAGAACACACTGAAGATGAATCCACATGGGACGATTTTTCATTCATCTTTTTGCGTTCTGGTTCATTGATACTGACAATTTGTCTCTAAATAGCCAGTAATTGTTAGTAATTAGTTTGATTTTATTTCATGGTTTTCCTGCGTTTGTTCTATGACTGTTAACTCCCAGTTAAGAAAATATCTTATTGAAGTTATGGAAATATCCTCCTTTTTTGTTGCACACTATTTGCATTATAAAGAGAAGTTGTCAGATTCTTAGAGATAATTCCAAAACACTATAATATGGTACTCTTGAGAAAGCTGCAGTGGTTGCAATAAAAAAGGCAGAAGATATTCTAAAGTGATAGCATGGAACAACTTGAAGTTGAGTCTTACCATAGTTGAAAGAGAGGCTTGTTGTGATTGTCCTTTTTGTAATGAGAATTTTTTTTGAAAGGTAGAAAATGAATAAATTATGTACTTATACCTGTAAGGAAGAAGAAACAATACTATGAATAGGTATTGTGTTCATGAAAGAGTCACTGTTGTTGTTGTGTACAATGAAATGTAGTCAGTTGTGTGATATAGTGGTCTGAGGATATATAATTGATAGACATTAAAAAAAGAAAAACATTAACAATAAATAGCAATGTTGATAATGTCATAGTGAAAGAGACACACAAAAGAAGAATGCAGTAAGAGGTATAGTAKCATTCAGGTGTACCTGTCATGGCTTAACAAGAACCAGTGCAGTGTTATAAAGACATGAAAATAAAGGTGTGTGGAAACATCTGTTGAGAATATTGTTAAATTGAAATGAAATTATAAAAAAATAGTTTAGAAGACCTGTAGTGACTGTGCATTGCTGTCAAGAAAGAGGAGAGATGTTGATGTTAATGTTTGAAATATGATAAGGAGAAAGGTTGAAGCAGCCAGAAGTGATAGCTGTCACATTTAGAAGACATATCCCAAAAAAGAACTTGATAAGTAAAAGGGTGTAGCCCAAGAAGCAGTTCTCAAAACATGTCAGTGTGAGATGAAGAATGAAAGAGTGCGTGAAAGAAACAATGAAAAATGAAAGATTTCTTTTGGTTCTTAAGTTAATTGGTTTCATGTTTTTTGAAATGCACGTTGAAAACGAATGCCTTTTGTGTGTTATTATGATTTACCTTGTAATGTTGGAAGATAGTAGTGGTTTGGAAAGGCAATGTTTTGTAAACAGTAAATGCATTTGAAGGCGTTGAGGTGCAAGGGAGAGCGAGTGTTTGACTTGTGCATATCATCAATATTTAGTCCAGTCTACCTCGGCAGKCCATCAGCTGTCTGAGGTTGGCCTCGGCAGTTTGCATGTTTCTGCAAGGTAACCTGAGGACATCATGAAGYCCGTRGAAGGTTGCAATTAGCACTGCACGAAGAAAGGTGCGGTTSTGAAGTTATCAGCGACTGTGCCATCATTCGAATGTTGAAAGGATTGTAGCACAAGTAGCGTTGAGAACGTTTGCCTTGCAGAAACCTGTAAAAGTTTTTGGTTAACAAGTGTGAAAAAGGTGTTTTTTTGGTTTTGTGGAGCCAAAGGGCTAGCCTAAGGGAAGTAGTTTTTTGAGGGAAAGAGTTAACCAAGGACTTGTRTGTAATTTTGTAGGCTAATAGCCGTTGGAASTTGCCCGCGCTTTGGCGTYCTTTTTTACCCAGAATGCCTTGCGGTTTTCAAGACATTGGGATCCCTTTTTTTTGTCAGTCCGATAGTGGTATATCTACATAGCATGCGTTCTTTGAATGTAATTTCGAAACAGTACTTTGTTTGTTGAGTATTTTTKAAGATAAATTCTAGGTAACCTTTTTTCAACGACAAATATGAAAAAATCTAAAAAAAAATCCCAGTTCGTGTATGTATTTGTAGAAGTTAATTGTGATCGTTTGTTATCGTTACTGCATACGGAAAATCCCAAAGCGGCAAGAAAACTTCAGTTTCTGGTATGGTAATTATACAGTAAAATAAAGAATTGAAGTGAAAAGGATGGGTTTGTACTCTTGTATAACATAGTCTTTTTAAAAGTTTAAATTTCTTTGTCAGTTCTGTTAGACTGCGAATCGAAAAGTAGAAATATTTCGACAAAGTTTATTGTTCATTGACCAATCATCATTAACCATCATCAAGTCCATTTTCACGTGGAAATGTAATGAAGACTTSAACGTTACAAATAAATCAAAGTAGTTGAACACGCAAGACGTCCTGAAAAAGCTTACCTCAGCAATGTTAAGGCATGCCAAATTGGAGAAAATGCTCTCAAATMTTTAGAAATTCATACCTCTGAAGAGTSTTGATCCCTTTGAATGAAACTTACCCAAAAGCAAGATTTAGTAAATACAAACATTTTTCAAGTATCTGTTGCCATGGAGACGAAGTCACGTGATTGAAAGTCGGCCATTTTGAGTTTTTTTTAAAAACGCAACCTTAAAAATATTTAGACATCTTCAAATCTCATGAAAAGTGCTAAGGATATACACGCATAGCATGTGCATACTGTTCTAATTAGAAAAAAAAAACGAAAAACTACTTTGGTGAAGTTTGTAGATTTKKTTTTTYGTTTTTGGAAAAAGTTTTGATTTTCAAATTGAACTTTCTTTCTCGGTTTTTCGATTCCCACTAATGTTTTCTGTCAAGTTCACTTTTGCTTATTGTCTTTGGTTAAAGCTACAGACATGTACACATTGTTATTGGGGAAAAAAAAACACTGAAGAAAGAAGTAAATAAATATAASTAGTCGTTCTTGGCGGCATTCTTCAAGTCTTTGATCTTATCATGCGGCAACTTGTATTCGACACAAATGCGGGTGTTAAGTGTCACAAATATTCCTTTTCTCATTACAATTCGTTAATTATTCAGGAAAGGTTTGTTTTCATTAGATCAGTGAAATGCTATTGTTGATTTTTTGTTGAAAAAAGATTCTTGAAAGGAATGGGATAATATTTTGCAAAACTCCGATAACGAAGAGCAAAACGGAAACCCCCCATCCCCCAAAAAAAGCATTCCCCCCAAGAAAAAAAAGAAAGAGTTGGTTCCGGCCAGTCTGTCTTGTTATTTATTCCAATTAAAGAGAGTCATAGTACATACACAACACTTGAACATTATTTAATGATTTTGATTAATATAGATTACATGGGTTCCAGCGACCTGCAAATAGTTCAAACTATTGAGTGGCAGGCCACTGTATTACAAATGTAGGGAAGAAGAAATTAAAAAGAAAGATATATATAAAATGTCTTTGTCAAATTATAAGTGGAATTTATGAAAAAATATTGGAAATATATATATAGAAGAAAACAATAAATATATTATAATATGATATGTTATTGCTAGATTTATAATGAAATTTCAGAAAAACATACATGAAATATAACACCTGGTTGAACGATATTAAAAACAAGAAAAAGAAAGTAAGGAGAATGAATAAAGAGGAAAGCAAAAAAAATATTAGGATTTGAGTAAGAAGCAACAAAAACTTCCAACCATTTGGGAATGAGATGATGAGATTAGATCTTGAGTAACCTACATTGAAATTGTCATTTAAATTGTMTTTAAACAGTCCCGGAGTAGCAWTCCGGGAGTAGCATTCATATTTTCGGTAAATCAAACTGGCGTCATTCCAGCGCGCGGGATTCGCCAATCAGGAAAGAGGACAGGAATAGACGACAGGTAATGACAGCCATGTTGTCCCACCGAACATGTAAAGAAAGTAGGATTGGAGGGCGAAGTTGAGATGGTTGAGAAGAGATGAGTTGCTGGGGCACTTGTAAAGGGAATGAACGCTAGCCAGGCAAGTGAAATGGAGGACAATCTATTTTTATTCCAAAGTCAAAAACYAATCTAGAAAAATGCTTTAAAAAAATGCTCAGGTCAGTTATCTGGTTGATCCTGCCAGTAGTCATATGCTTGTCTCAAAGATTAAGCCATGCATGTCTAAGTATAAGCACTTGTACTGTGAAACTGCGAATGGCTCATTAAATCAGTTATCGTTTATTTGATTGTACCTTTTTACTACTTGGATAACCGTGGTAATTCTAGAGCTAATACATGCGAAAAGTCCCGACTTCTGGAAGGGATGTATTTATTAGATTCAAAACCAATGCGGGTTCTGCCCGGTTGTTTGGTGATTCATAATAACTGTTCGAATCGCACGGCCTTGCGCTGGCGATGTTTCATTCAAATTTCTGCCCTATCAACTGTCGATGGTAAGGTATTGGCTTACCATGGTTACAACGGGTGACGGAGAATTAGGGTTCGATTCCGGAGAGGGAGCCTGAGAAACGGCTACCACATCCAAGGAAGGCAGCAGGCGCGCAAATTACCCAATCCTGACTCAGGGAGGTAGT